GAGTTAATTTCAAGCTCACAGGTAAGTGTGCGTGTGTGAGCTTGAAAGGGCAAGCCCTGCCAAACCCAAAATCACACGGGAAGATGCATTCCTTATGTTCGCTGGCTTTTTTCTCTCTTAATACCCTCGTATGCACTGGATGAAAGTACCCCAGAACCCTATTGTTTCACCTGCAAAGGCTGGGAAAGTGCTGAAAGAGCACATGAGAGAAAGGGAGGGATGGCTAAGAGGCACATCACAGATTTCGTCTATGTTCATGGACACCCATGGCAAGGACAAGGAGGAGCACTGAATCCCCTCAGAATAGGCCCTGATCTTCAGATTATCAGCTTTTATTTTTGTAAAAACAAACAAAAAGTTCTTAACTCCAGTAAAACCTGGGATATGAAGGAAAATGTGCAGCTACTTTTCTGCCTATTTATCTTTGAGAGACTAGCATCTTCCAGCTTCTAGTGTTTTAGCCAATTAATGAACTAATTGTCTGGGTGTTAACCCTTCTGGGTGTGTCGAGCCTTTCTCGGGTGTTCCCTGTTTGAAAGTACTTACACCTTCATAAAAACAAATCAGAAATCCGGGCGTTACCTATGGCTCAGTTTGGCCTGTAGTGTGACTGCCAAAAAACAAAATGTAGCAACCAGGATGGTTTGTGGTCTTTCTGACTTAGGTTTTGTTAATACGTTTTTCCTCCATTTATGCACAATCTAAGAATTACCTTGTTAACTTGTGTCGATAAAGTGCATCATTATTGTACCTTTATTGCTGGAGGCTTAGCTATGAGTAAAACAAATCCTACAAAGCAGCCCAGTGTTGTTACTCGCATTTTGTGGGGGAGTCTCTGAGCACATTGCAGCATGATCCAGTGTTGTGTTATAAGGAAACAGAGTTGAGGCTTTGAAATTGATTGTAGCTGCAGTGCAAGTTATCAAGGGCTAGGTTTTTGTGTGAGATTTTACCCACTCACACACGCACGCACCCTCTTTAGATCGATGCCGTTCAGTTGCTAAGATCTTCTACTACTCTACGTAGGCTCCTAAATTGGTATGTAAGATGATGCTAAGCAACTATGTGCAGAGGTGTGTTGTAGCACAAATTACGACGACTAACTGCTGTGCAGATTTACCCTGCCCTCCATTTTTTTTCCCTGCGGACTGCCATGTTGGGCCATAATCTTCTTTTCTATAGAGAAGAAACAATGTGTGTGGGAACCCCATGTCTTGCATAGCAAATACATGAATGATTGTGTCTGTGCATGAGCCACATTGGCAGTGAGGAAGGACTGTTAACCCTCACAGCACTGTGATTCTGTCTCCCTCTCCGTCTCTGTGGGCCACTCCTGTGAAGCCCTCTCTTTTGTCTTGAACTCTTTACGAAAGCCCAAAGGACATGGTAGGACCCCCTACTAGTTAGAGTAAAGGAAATGCAGTGGCTCTGTCCTGCAAAGGAGACAGAGCCTTCCCGATTACAGAGCACAATTGACTCTCCAAAATCTTTCAAAAGCACTCACAACATGTTTAAATGTATTCAAGAAAAGATTGCTGTTGAGCAAGAAAAGTGGGAGGGAGAGGCCTTGTTTTCACTCAGCTTCAAAACATCCGAAAACATGCCCAAAATGCATGAGTACAGGTAGAAGGCAGAAAACACTTGGTATAAATACTTGAGAGGTTTTGCGTTTTTTTGCTCTCTCTCTGATATGCTGGATCCTGGATGGGCCGTGGGCCTTGGAGACTTGGGTATGCTTCAAGATGGAGAACTCCTAGTGCTAACAGTCAGAAAGCATTGTGAAACCATTCTGTTTTTTTCTTTCTTAACACATTTTCCATGAGAAGAAAAAAGACAGGGAGAGCAGTCAAAAAACACCAAACTGTAAGTAGAAGGTGACATTGTTTGGAAGTACAGCCCCACCGCCTGTAAAATTATGTGACTGAGGCAGGATGATGGTGCCATAAAACCCTCATCTGGAAGCACCCCAGGTCCAAAAATCCTTGCTCAGCCATGAAACTATCTGAAAGGCCTTGAGTAAATCATTTTTCACAGTCTAATCTACCTCACAGTGTTGTGAGGATAAAATGGAACATACACAATCCTGAGGTCCTTCGAGGAAAGGGCCATTTAAATGATGGATTTGCGTGCTTCTGTAGTCAGCAAAGATCCAAGCACACAATAATACAGATTAATTACAGAGTTTTTTAAAAAATTAATGGTGGGAAACAAATGTGACAATGAAATAATATCCATGCAACAAAATGCTTCTTTACCTGAGCAATGTGTGTGATACAAAAGGGAAACAAATTAGTAGCGGTATTTTAAATTATCATGCAGAAAGACCCTTGTGCTGGTGTGTCAAGGAAAAGCTGTTTAAACGTGTGGGTGATGGATAGGAATGGGTAAGAGATGTTCTTGTTTTAAATATATCATCTGATTAGCCACGATGAAGCAGGCAAACTTCTGTCTATAGAGTTGCACATGCACAGAGCATTCACACAATCAGGCTGAGCTTGATATAGTGTATGCAAAGCTGACATTGACTTAAAGCATCCCCCTTGTCTTTTTTCTGGAACAGAGACATCTCTGTATGATTTGTGGATCTATAGCATCCATACTACTAAGGCTCCAGTTCTGCATCCTCCTGACAGCAGAAAATAATGCTTCTGTCATACATTTTTCATCTCAAGACTGAAGGATTACCAAGGCCAACCCAAACTTTTTGAAATTTTGGCTTTCTGCTGACTGCTATAGGATTCATGTCCAGCCATGCTTGCCTGATACAACAACTAGAAGAAACAATTGCACAATTAAAATATAAAACTGGCAGTACAGGGAACAAAAAACTGAGGCCAGGGATACAGCCTTAAAATGGCTTTAAAAATAAATTTATAGGACTCCAGGCTCTGGCTGGGGTCAGATGTTTGCAGGATGAGGCATATTTTGCTAGTGTCCAACAAGAGCAGAATTCCCTGGACAGGTGCCCTTCAGATGGTTTAGATCACAGCTCCACTGCTCCTGACATTTGGCCATCCTGGCTGGGGCTGATGGCAGCTGAAGTCTACTGAGGGAACACCAGTTTGGGGAGCGGCTAGACAGGGAAACTCCATTTTCAAATCCCTGCTCAGCTCAATACTGATTGGTTGATTATGGGCCAGTTAGCCTCTCTCAGGTCAACAGGAAGTTGCCTTATGCCATGCAGGATTATGGCCTACCTTCTCAGTATCATCTACTGCACTGCTAGTTGCAAGGTTCATATAATACAATAACACACACTCAGGGCTTGAGTGTGGATTGAATGTGGGTTGTTATTGAAATGTGGGTCTGAACCCAGACAAGATAACCCATGGTGAACAAACGAGAGTTTACAGCCCAACAATTAACCATGTGTTTGGCATGTAGTTCATGGTTAACAAGCCATGGTGTGTTGGCACAGCTGGGTACAAACAACACAACCTGCATTTCAGTAACAACCCACAGTTCATTGACAATGCACACTCGACCCATTCTCAAACTCTGAGTGTGGATTACTATGTTGTCTGAATCTAGCAACTTTCCAAGGTCTAAGACAGATGTTTTATAACTATTTGGAAGAGTCTTTAGTCTTCAGAAACTCCAGCCCCAACGGGTGTATGCATTTAGGTGTGTTCAGGTGTGTGTTTGCATACATGGCCCCTTCTGCCCACCAATGTACCATCCAGTCCTGAATGTAGCCAAAAAAGCCTACCCCCAGTTGAGGTGAAGTGACTAATTCATGCACTTCTAACTATAGTAGCATGCTTCTGCTTTCATTCAGCTAAAATCAAAGCAAACCTAGGACTAATGTAATTGACCCTAGGAAGAAAAATCAGTGTTACAATAGCATGAAGACAATGTGAAGAAGCCAGCAGAGAATACTAGCCATCTGGTGGTTTCACAACACTCACACATGGATAAACTATCTTTCACAAGGCTAGATAGTGACATGAGCAAGTCACCATCGAAGAAGAAAAGGGTGCATGACTTTTAAGTTAAGGCTGTAATTCTATATTCACTTACCTGGGATTAAACCTCATTGAATTCAATGGGTCTTCCTTCTGAGCAGGGCCAGCCCATGACATTTTGCTGCCTGAGGTCCCAAGGCAAGGTGCATCGTGCCCAAGGCATGCCCAGGTATTTTTCATGACATCCCCAGTCAGCAGCCTGCCTCTCCTTAATGGTGGGCCTGGCCCTGTTTCTCAGTAGACATGTAAAGTCTGTGCTGCAATTTTACTCCTGTTTTAGCCAAATATCCCTGGATACCTGGCAATAAAGCTATGGTAGATGGTTCCCATCGGATTAATCAATAATATACGATCAGCTGCACTGGCCCTTCTAAATATGGTTCTCAGACAAGTACTCATTTTATTTCAGGTTTTCCTCTTGGTGTCCCAGCAGGTATGACCACACATTTCTCTATCAAACCAGCTTCTTCTTCCTGGACATGCAGGGAGGGCAAAGGAAGACCAGCACAATTTGTGCCCAGTTGAGTAGATGTGTTGTGCTGGAACATATTCCCGACTAGACAAGGGAAAACCTTAGGAGTGGGTCACAAAGTAACAGGGTTTTGATAAGTTGAACTGACTAGTATATGTTTAAGTACATGTTAGCAGAAGACTTGAATGAAATGGCAACATGGAGGAATGTCCAGGTGTCATATTGTGGGATTCAGCAGGAGAGAGAGAAGGAAAACTGACAAAGTGGTGTGGCAGTGGCAGGAAAGAACAGCATGAGGTCCAGTCAAGCACACAATATGCAGACCTATTCATGAAATGCAAGCATTTCCTGGAGAAAACCCCAGAGAGAGATGCTAAGAAGGTACCAGATGTTAATGGAGTATACCTTCTCCTTAAGTGATTTCAGGTAGCACAGCTGTATTTGCAAGGCTTAAAAAACTCACATTAACAAAAGTGATTGCAGAGAAATTTTGCATTTGCTTGAAAAATGACATATTACACACCTGTTTAAAAAGGTTCTGTGTTTAATTTGATAATTTTTTGGACTACGACACTAAAAATCTGGTTATCATTATTTTTAATCCCATGTAAAACTATTAAAATACTAGAATTATTTTCATATTAACACCTGTTCCAGACGAGTGAGGGCAATGCCCATATGGAAGGAGACTTCTATGTTCAGAACCTCTAGCAGACTGAGAACCCTGAATGCTTTGAAGGTGCCTCATGCAGGGTGCCTTGTGCTTCTGGTTTGAGAGGAGCTAGCAAGAGGCATTAATGGCAAGAGGAGCACTGACTCGGTTGGAACCCAAGAAGACTGAATCCCACTCCACTTCTGGCAGCATCAACAATCTTGACTCATTGCTCCCTGAATAGCACAAACAGGGCCTATACGTGCACGCTTTCCTTAACATTTATCTGGCAAGCCCTGTTAAAATGCTTGGGAACCGTGTTAGAACACGCTGGTGCTCCTAAGAACAACATTTCTTTCATCCATGTAAGAAATGTTCTTGGTGCCTCCCATTCAGTGAATGTGGCATTCCTTCATTCCTTTCTCCAGAAAAGCTTTGATATACATCACAGAGTACATGCATTGTAGTAAGTGGTGAGGACTTATTTATGGTTTTGTTTGTGAGTCTTAAGCACAACGACTCCAGTGAATATAAACAGCTATTACTTGGAGGCTTGTGGATGGTTGTGAGTGCCCTGTGAGCTTTTCATTTTTCTTTCTAAAAGGAGTTTTTGTTCTGCTTTTGAAGCTTCCTCTAAGTATAAAAAAGGACTTTGTGATGGAGTTAGGAAACTACTATGCATGGGGGCTGTGGTCTAATGAGGTCATTCAACCCTCTGAAGATCTATCTGGATTATGTTCCCTGAACATAGACATTGCTAGGAGGTTCAAAAAGACAATCCCAGTTTTGAACAATTTCTATTATTATTATTGCTATTGTCTTGTGGATGGCTTGAAGGGAAACTTTAGCTTTGCTCCACAAATTCTGGTAGCTCCATGCCTGTATGCAGGTTCAGGACCCCTGGTTGCTCCAACACAAAGGCAGGGTGTACAGCTTCAGTGAACTTGTGCCTGATGGAAGTCAGCATTTGCCCTCTTTCTGCATTGAAAAATAAGAGTCTTCCAGTGTTATAGTCCAGCAGAATGCCAATCCGGGCTGGCTCTTCTGTGACAATCACATCACTCATCTCTCCATTGTGGAGGACTTTATATACACAACTGCAAAGAAAGTGGAAAATGTAAAACAAAAACGAACCTACTGCACTGTCTGTCATAACAAATTCTACTGCTGCTGTCTCCAGTGTTGTGACATGCCATGGGCACACGTCTTGGTGCTTACCAGACTCCCTGACCCTCCTGATTTTTTAAATGATGAGGAATACTAATTAAACTGGGAGGCTGGCAGAGTGCTGACTAATGGGAAATGGGTGTTTTGTGACTGGTTGCAGCTCCCTTAGCAACTATTTTGTCGCTCTCAAAATTCCAAGTGTGTCCACCAGCCCCAGAAGGTGGGAACCCACTGTTCTGCTATGTTTGATTTGCCAGTCAAATAGAAAAATAAATAAAAAAATAAAAAAATTATTTTCTCTCATCCCCTGAAACAATGGTAAAAATGCCCCCTACTTCCATAGTCTACAAATAGGGCAGTGCACACATACACTTTGAACAAAGACTTGGGTACTTCATATAAGCCTCATAATTTCAGTAGCCATTCTGTGTAGCAAACACTAATTTTATCCTGAGGCCTGCAGGATTCCAATGGCTATTTAGGAAAACAGTTCTTAGTATGGCTTATTTATTTATATTGCAATTTATACCCTGCCTTTTTGCTACAAAGGGCTCAAGGCAGCTTACATCTCCTCCTCCCCTATCTTATCCCCACAACAACAACCCTGTGAGGTAGGTTGTGCTGAGAGTCTGTGACTGGCCCAAAGTCACCCAGTTGGCTCCATGGCTGAGCGGGGACTAGAACCCAGATCCTCTGAGTCCCAGTCCCATGCTCTTAACCACTACACCACACTGGCTCTCTTAGGCCTGCATGTCAGAATGCAGAAGTGCAGCTCATGTCAGTCCATGCCTATGGCTGTTCAGGAAGACAATTTGTAGGGTACAGACCATCATACAATATCATAACCTACCTTAATATATTCCTATAGCCATAGAGAAAGAGAAGCATTTATCTACTTCCAAATGCAATGTAATGAGGGCAACACTAGCTGATCTTCCAGGGTTATTGCTCAGTTCTTCTAGACAGGCAATCTAGTGCCTTCCAACTGTTTGGACTAGAACTCAACCAATACAGCCAATAGTCAAGAACAAGGAGAGTTCTCATCCAAAATGTCTGCAGAGTTCTACCCCAGATAATGTCAAATAGGAGCTTTATGGTGACAAAGGGAAGGGGGATGAGGCTAAAAGGATTCCAGGGGCTTTAGGGGCTCCTTGCATATGCCTGTGATTAATGGCGGAGCTTCTGGTATTTCATACCAATAGTTCCTTAGTCAGTTCACCAGACCTATAATCTCTTCCTATGACCAAACTCTGCCAACACAGTCTGTTGACAGAAAAAGCTGTAAAAGCTTGCAGGCAATTTAGCAAAATCCAGCTTACCTCATGCAGGCTTATGGCCCTATGCCCACATGCAAACTCTGTTGGAGTTAGGAATATGAGAATGGATCAAGGGCTTGTGGAAGAGGGGCAACTCCAATCCATGACAATATGTTTCAACAGCCATTTGAAAAACAGTATCTTTTTGCTTGTTCATTTCGAGACAGTCTAAAAAATGTAATCTAAATAATCAATCATCTTTGCCTCAGCATATTTTAATGACCCTTTGGTCAATTCATTGTGCTTGCATCATCACTGAAAGAGTCAAGGCATTCCAAAGTCCATTTTCTGCCACTTACTTGAGGATGCATCTCCCCTACCATCAGTGGAGCTATTTCCTCTGCTAGATTTGATGAAAAGAAGCTAAAGGCACAGTCCTATGCAATGACTGATAGAAGGAAAAAGAAGCTCTTACAGTTCCCATTTGTGCTGGCTGGAGGGATGCTGGAAGTTGTAGGACTGTTTTCTGTTGGGACATGTATAGAATTGCACCCTAAAATCAGACTTAAGTCAGCAGATTTTGTAAAAAAAATCTAATGAGCATCAGAGGCAACTACAGTTGGAAGTGCTGAGCTACAAGCAATACATTTTTTTAATTTGGATCCTCTGCAGTACTGATGGGATTTGCCATGATTAACTTTGGAAGCCATTTTGGTTCTTCTACATTAATATATCATTAGGAATATTCTGCATTCCATGATCTCAGATTATGGAACAAATTAGCAAGGATAGCCTTTCCTTTGAACACAGAGCAGAGGCTTTTGCTTAGTAACATGTACATTTTCACACTGAATAGACAACTTGGCTCTTCCTTTAGTGTCCTCAAAAGGGCATTTATTATAATTTTTAAAAGTGCATATTTATTCAACTATTTTAGTACAATCTTTTGAAAACTGGAATGATGGCTCAACTGGCATCAACTGGTTGCACCTCAAAGAAGCAGAATGCAATGGAGTTGGCCATTCTGGGCAACTGCCTACCCAGCTCCTGCTCCCCTGTTGAATAGACAGACCAATGTCCTCTCTCAGACTCAGGTCTGCCCAGCACTTGGCCCCTGCACTCAGCTAGGAGCATGAAATTAATAGCTCTGTGCAGCAGGGCCATCTTAACAGTATTATGGGCCCCGGGCAAAGCAGTGTACTGGGGCCCCTATGACAACCACAACTACTGTTAATTTTGGAAGTTTTCCAATTTTCCAAGGGTTAACATACACAGATTAGTATGGGGCCCACAGGCAAGTGCCCATCAGGCCCATGCATTAAGACGGCCCTGCTGTGCAGGCATTCACACAGAAATGAAAAGGAGAAAAGAAAAACTGAGTCCTGCCTGTTCGTGTCTTCCCCCAGCATCCACAGTGCAGGGGGGCAACCTCAAGCCCAAGTGCAAAGTGAGGATTTGAGGATCCCAATCCAAACCACCCGGGATCCCCCGATGACCACATGCCCTGCCCCTGGCATCACCCCATTTCCCCTGACCACAGATGGCTTGGTGCTTTTCTAGCTTTTGTCTTGTTTTCTCCTCCATCCTAAGGCTGAAATGCAGCAAGAACTTTAAGATAAACTAGGCTGGTATTTTTGGCTTCACCCTTTTTCCTTTGCTATTGCAGGAATGTAGCTCTGAGAGCTTCTCTGAAATTGAATCCATCCCTCAGGTTGAGAGAGTTTTGCCAGCATTTGTACAGGAATGTATGCTCATACTCCTGAATAAACACAGCCAGCTCAGGCGCAATCCAAACACTGCAAAGCAGAGGGCACATACAGTGTGTGCTGGACATCTGTGCACATTTAGGTTTCTCTGCAAACCCAGTGGCTCCACTATGGATAAAATCTGGTGCAGTAGTCTTGCATCCAGGGGGGCCCTCAAACAACCACCAGAGGATACAGGTGGAGGCACAGGATGCAAATGGTTGCAGCAGGAAACAGCATTAGCACTTAGAATGGGCAGCCACATACGAAGTTGGTGCACAACTTCCTTCCTTCCGTTCCCTCTCCTAGTTGGGCATTTGTGCTGCACAGCAGCTATCCGTGACCACTAGTCCTCATGCCTATATGTCACTTCCAGTATCATCCATGGACTGTACCCATGTACATTAGTTGCTGAGGAACATGGACAGGGAGTTATTATTGCGTTCATGTCCTGCTTGTGGGATCCCATAGACAGCTAGTAGGGCACTGTGTGAACAGAATATAAGACCAGATGGACCTTCAGTCTCATCAAACCAGGCTCTTCTGATGTTCTTAAGTTCTTAAAATGTGTCTTACACAGGCTCTGGTCACTCCCACCCACCGCCTCTGTTTCTTCAACTTTCTTGGTGAGATGGTGGACATAGATGAAGTCTTGGCAACAGGCACTTGCCTTATGCAAGTCTGCTCACCTGGCTATTTCTCCCACAAAGAATCACTTTCTTCCCAGGTATAAACTACACCAGACTAATAATGCTGGCCTGTCTTACAGAGCTGTTGAAAGGCTTGGTGACAAAATGTATGGGATGTACTCTGACCACTGAAAACATGCAAGTAAGTATAAGCGCTACTGTCACTGTATTTCATGAAGGCTGTACCTTGAAATGCAACATTACAAGCATTAACTACCACCTGCCATTGGTGATTATGACTCTTCTACTAAAAGTCCTGATCAGATTATGGAACATGGAAAGCTGAAAAGCACCACTGTGTGACCTTATCTGCCAGTGTAAAGGACAGAGAGTATAGCATTAGAGTCCTAGTCACAGACACCAATCATCCGGCATTTCAGAATTCTGGGCTCATTCCAAAAGACATGCCTCTCCTCCATCACCGGCTAAATCATCAGATGACCTCGAGTAAAGCAGCTATGGTGGGCATGTATCATATGGACAGTAAAATCAGACTGGGGAAAGGACAGGAGATCTTGTGATTGGACTATTCATTACAGCTACAAATTCCAGGGGCTCAGATTTCTGCTCCTCTTTCAGTTAATGAAAGTTGTACCATCCAGAAAAGCAGGAACAGAATTTTGTTGTGGGATCTCATTTGAGCTATTGTAATTAATGGGGAGAGAAAACCAGTGCAACTTAAAATACAGTTTCCATGAGGGCAATTCCTCCCACAACACAATGGAAAATTGTCTAGCACCCTGACTCCAAAATACTGGTGTGTCTGGCACGATGCTTCATACACAGAGGAGGCTCACATAGCCTTGGCATTACCTTGTTTTGCTAGGGCAATGCAAGCACCAGGATGCACCATTCTGCCCCAGGACACTGTCTTGTCGTATGGAGGAACTGCAGATTCCAACTCTGTACGCTGCACAGCCACTCACAGTGGTTTCCCAGTAGTGCCAGCCTCGAGCAGGCAGGAGCTCTCCCAGTACTGGTGAGATTCTGCATGTACAGATGAGAGAGGCAAATGTAGCATTTTGGTAGATTAGTCAGGTTCAAAGAATACCTTGACACTCAGGCATCAGAAAGGTCCAGTGCCCTAGAACTCATGTGTAACATTGAGAGTTCCCACCTCAAAAATTAGCTTTGGCTATTTGAATACTTTGCGGCATTTAAATCAGGGACATTGTACCTGAGTCTTGGAGACCAAATCCAGCCCTCCTGAGTTTTCCAAATGGCCACTTCCCCTTCCCACCAAGTGATTTGCCTACCTCTCTTTTTGTTCCCTGGTTTTTTGGTGGTTTTCCAGGTTAGGCGTATTTCCCCCCATACTCTAAAAGGCTGAACCGCCTCTCTAAGGCTTAGACACTGGCAAAAAGAGCTGCAAGCTGAAATACACTACTATTTTGATGCAGCTTTTGCAGCCTTGCCCATTTGCTTTCAACTGGAATATCACCCCTAGGAACTTATCCAGAATTGTAAGAGGTGCTGAAAGAGGTTCCACACCCCTGATTTAACTGAAGTTGGCCCATTATTTCACATTCATGGTGAGCTGTTTTAGTTTTCTTTAAATCCAAGTAGTCAAGCCAGTTAGGCCTTTTTGAAAATGACAGCCTTATTTTGTCTGTCAGCCTTTTTTGATACTCTTAGGCAGAAGGAAATACAGAAGAAAAATCTCCAGAGGAATAGGAAAACAACACAATTCCTTGAACTCAAATTGCAAAACAAAAGCACTTCTCCCTCCTTACTGCCTCTCTGGGTTAAGGAAAAACGTAAATCCCCTTAAATGGTCCTCACATCCTGTTGACAATAACATTCAGTAGTAAGGATGAGTAGTACCTACCCAGTGAGTTTACTGTCTTTGGGAAGGGATATCATGGTTCCATTTGGTGATATGTGCAATGCAGGGTGAGTTGTTTCTTTCATAAGGTGAAATCTAGTTCCTATTGTGATTCACAGGAAAGAAATAAACATCAGTTGAAAGATGATTGCAATGCTACTTTGTAGTGAATCATAAAACTGTAAGGAATGTAGCAATCATTGTCAGTCAATCAACAGAAAGCACCCAACATTTCAGTATGAGATGAGGCAGAAGTTCTCGTTTGGCAATAAGGGACTGAAGACTAGACATGCCAATTGCAACTGCTGGGCTTCGTACATGGCAAGAGAGGGTTTGAGAAGATACTTTTAGGCCCCTGTATTTCCAATGAAACAGAGCCAATTGTTGCTTTTTCCCATGCCGAGAGTCTGGTTTGAACTGCACAGTCTGCCTGTGTTCTGTTTACAAGAAGGAATTAGATATTGTGCTGATTGCTAAGCTTTGAATCCACACTTATAATACCACACTGGTTGTATTTCATCTGTTTCAGCCTCTCACACTTGGAGAGCTACTCCTCAAGCTATTCTAAAGAACTACCTGCATTTTAAGTAGCTGAAGGCTAAATATGAAACAAGATAAAAGCTAGTAAAAATAGTGGGCCATACTTTGCAGATCACATTAAGCACAACAGAGAATTCCAGGAGAGACTTGCCAAATAGTGGTCTCTTTTTAATCTATCCCAACATGCATAGAAAAGAATGTTCTTGCATTGCTGTACAGTTCTTACAAAAACAGTTGCTGAAGCTGTGACTGTCAATAACTGTTCAATAAGTGATCAGGAGCTACTTTACTTGCCATAATGCAACATATCTTAATGTATAATGTTGCAATATTCACTTCTCAGTCATTTTACCAGAATCTGTACCTGTGATCTTTTCTACACAAACCATTCATTTTGTACTCATTCCTTACTCTGGGTTGTTGGTAGGTCAATTTTGTTTCTGTTTTTAAAAAGCACTTCAGCAAGTGGAGGTGGGAAATTGCAGTATTATTTCTGCAAGTGAAAGAAAATATTTTTTCCAACTTATGTATTTGTGCTATACCACATTGCCATCTAGAAGATATGTGGAGGAAAAACAGAAAAGAAGACATTCTTTGTGTACTGCTTGAACTTCAATTCTGTGACAAAACTGAAAGTAGATATAGAGGAATTACAGTCTAATATAGAAAAGCCCTGTACCTTTTGCAGCTATGGCAGAGTGCAGTTCATAGTGGAAAAACAACATGGGAAAAGCAGATATTGCCTGCCAAGACTCACGGTCCTCAATTAACACACCCACAACTTTTATAAAGCTGAAACTCTGACCATGTATTTCCTACAGCCTCTTCTAGTTGTGAAGAATACAGACTTTTTATTGCTTTTCATAATTTCATGCATCCTAGTTAGCCCATATGTCATAGAAAAACCGTGAAAATTGAGTTGTGGTTTGCACATACTGCTAATCCATAGTTTATTCCCCAACCCACTGTTTGTCTGAGAAACAAACAAACTCTGTAGCCTAGCAAAACAACAGATAATCAACCTCAGTTTCTGGGTTCACATGTAAACTCATGATTGAAATAAGCCAGAGTTCAGAGTTCACAACCTGACAACAAATCATGTGTTCTCTTTTTGGGTTCACATTCACATTTGGGTTCACATTCACATTCACACACCAAAACAATCCATACAGCAGGATAACATTATATGTGAACCAGATCATTGACTGCAATCTCTAAAGCTTTAACTCTTTACATATTCAGCAAGCAACAGAAAGAAATGGATAGGCTTCATTATAGTAAAATTCAAACAGCTTAGTTTTATAGGAATTTCCACTGGATGTGTTTCCAGCAGCATCTGGTGAATTACTAGTGCCACTCTTACCACAGTTGGACCTTCACTCTGCCTGGATAAACTGACCATTTCTGGAGAGAGAATCTGCACTGGTAATGTATTCTAGAGAAACCAAACTGAATGGGATGCATAAGTCTCATTCTGCCAGCAGAGAAGATTTGGGGGCTGCACCAGGGGGCTGCAGTAGGAAATAGAGGATGCAGAAATAAAAGCAGTATTCTATTGCTGCATAAATGAGGAAACTGGATCCAAGCCTTCTTATTTGTATGCATCTTCACCTTTTCCCTAAGGTTCCCACTGATTAGAAAGCATTTATCTACCTTTTGTTGAGATGAGGGCAGCTTCACTCTGTTCACTCGTTCCAAAGGAGTTAACTGCTCTCACGTAGAAGAAATAATTTATATTTGATTCAAGGCGAACCTTCATTTCAGGTCTTTTAATTCCAGCAAGAGATCTGAAAAAGCGAAGAGTAAACATTTGCTGAACCTGTAGAAGAAAATCTATCGCTGTTTTTCCTCTCAGAAAAGGAAGTGGAGCTCATGTACTATCAACAAAGGCACAGGAATACACTGACTAGGCCTGCCTGTGACACTATACTCTGTGCAGCCTGGGGTGGCCATATGTCCTACTTTCCAGAGGACTGTCCTTTAGTTGAAGGTGCCTTCTATTTGAAGGGTGGTCCATCCCAAATGCAGGTGGCGCAGTGGTTTAAACCACTGTGCTGCTGGGCTGGTTGACCGAAAGGTCGCCGGTTCGAATCTGCACAATGGGGTGAGTTCCTGTTGCTCGGTCCCAGCTCCTGCCAACCTTGCAGTTTGAAAGCATGCAAATGCAAGTAGATAAAAAGGTACCACTTTGGTGGGCAGGTAACAGCGTTCCGTGCACTTCGGTGTTTAGTCATGCCGGCCACATGACCACGGAGACTGTCTGCGGACAAACGCGGGCTCCCTCGGGTAGGAAACAGAGATGAGCACCACCCTGTAGAGTCAGGCATGACTGGACTTAATGTCAAGGGGAAACCTTTACCTTTACCAGCCCAAATGCAGTTTCAAAATAACCATAATATGGGAGAGCAGGAACTTTGAATAGCTCATCAGCTGTGAGCACCTTGAGAACTGGCACACGTAGCAGATGTAGGGCTTTGGCCAGTCTCTCCAATATGGTGATATCTATTGCATGAGTGACCTCATACATGAGAGCCTTCTCTGCAGTGGCCCCTCACCTCTAAAGTAAGTTGTCTTTGGGGTTCTGCCATGCACCATCACTGAAGGATTTTAAGAAAGCCTTGACACACATTATTTTATTCTAACCTTCTCTTGATATTATTGCTGCTGCCACTGCTTTATTGCTGTTACTATGTTTTATTGCCCTTAGTAACCTATCAGTTTAATGTGTTTTATTGCTGTAAGCTGCCTTGGGAAGGCTTCTGCCCTGAAAGAAAGCCAAAAACTGTCTAAATAATAAATGAAATACATTTCTATTAAAAGTATAGCAATTCTTTCCAAATTTGCATATACACAGATAAATTAGCAAGTGCACAACCTTATGCAAATACATGCCCTCTATTTGGCAATGCATCCATGGCCACTTGGTGTCTCCTGTCCCCTGATGTCTCCATGTATAGTGCAAACATCTGCAAGGATGGAGCCACTGCAGGTACAGTTGTACTTGAGAAGACAAACACGCGATCTAGAACTGCAATTCCCCCATGTACACAGAACATATGCATGTATCCCTGAATGCATAAGGGACGCTGTCTGTACATCTGGGACCATCCATTAGCAAGGATGCCCAACTGTGTGCATGAAAGAACACACGTGTATGGATGAACCCACATAGGCGCCACAGAGAAGGCAGGGAAGTTTGCAGGGTTTGCAGAGGCCATCCTGATTAGAGCCACAGTCATTAAATGTTCTATGATCATTAAAAAAAGTAAGTATACAAAGGAAGAAAAGGGAACTAGAATCTGAATCTACAGTTCAGAGAACCACAAAGAGCTCCACATATAGATTCGGTTTTTTGGACTCCCACATTGCACATTAAAAACATTTTTGAAACAATTAGCGTTCCAGAAAAATACAACTTTTAAAAATTTCCCTGGATTCAAGCACCTGGAAGCCCCTCAAGACACAACCTGGAGTGTGGCCTAATTAGTAGTTGTGTTTATGTATGAATGATGAACAGTACTTTCACAATGGTTAAGCTGAGGACATGGTGCACTAGTTATTCCAGTGTGTGGAGAGCAGTCTGAAATAGATAGAAACATGGCAAGTCAGAAGGGGCCTCCAAGGCCATTTAGATCTCATGATGTGTACATATATTCAACCCTCTTTAGATAAACATATTTTGCAAGCTGCTGCATTACTTCAAAAGCCTGCAAACTTTTTGTTGTCGTTATGCGCCATCTCTGACTTATGGCAACCTTGAATGCCCTTCCAAATTGCTTGTTCTTGATAGCACTGCTCAATTCCTTGGAAATGCAAGCCTGTGACTTCCTTTATGGAATCGAGTCATCTCCTATTTGGTTTTCCTCTTCTTCTTCTGCATTCAACTTTCTCTAGTATTATTGTCATCACTAGTGAGCCTTGCCTTCTCATGATATGCATGAAGTACAACTGCTTCAACTTCATCACTTTTGCTTCCAGGGAAAATTCTGGTTTGATTTGATTGAGAACCCACTGGTTTGTCTTTCTCTTGGTCCAGGGTATTCACAAAACTCTGATCCAGCACATTTCAAATGCATCAAATTTCTTACTGTCAGCTTTCTTCATTGTCCAGCTTTCACACCCATACACAGTATTAAGGAATACAATACTGTGAATGATGTTGGCCTTGGCCTCTAGTGCAAGATCCTTACATTTGAGGATCTTTCCTAGTTCCTTCACTGATGCCCTTCCAAGTCTCAGTCTTCTTTGAATTTGTTGACTGTCATCTCCCTTTGAATTGATGACTAAGCCAAGGTATGCAAAACTTATCACAATTTGTTTCTTCAATGTTGATATTACAGTTGTGTAATTCTTCTGCAGAAACATTTTTGTTTTCTTATGGTTCAGCTGCAGTCCTGCTTTTCTACTTCTTTCGCTTTCATCTGGAGTTATTCCAATTCAGTGCTGTTTTCTGCCAGTAAGATGGTGTCATCTGTCTATCTTAAATTATTGCTGTATTTTCAACCAATTTTCACTCCTTTTTCCTCTCAACCTAGTCCAACTTTCCTAATGATATATTCCATGTACATATTGAACAGATAGGGAGATAAAACTAATGTCTAATGTCTTTGCTTCTAGGAAATCATTCTGTTTCTCTATATGACCTAATGGTAGCTTCTTATCCTCAGTGCAGGTCAGCATCAGGACAATCAAGTCCTGAGACACACCCATTTCTTTCAGGACCAGCCATTGCTTCTCATGATCCATGCAGTCAAAGGCTTTGCTGTATTCTATAAAGCATAGAGCGATCTTGTTCTGGTATTCTTTGGTGCTCCAGTAGCCAACATATATTTGTGATATGATCTCAAGTGCCTCTTCCTTTGTGGAATCCATCTTGAACATCAGGCATTTCTTGCTCCATATAGGATAAAATTTTTATTGTAACACCTTGAGCATCACTTCACTTCCAGGGAAATCAATGCAGTAGTCCTATAGTTGCTACACTTTTACACTTCCTTTCTTGGGGATTGAATGTCATATTGAATGTCTCCTAACTGTGGGCCATTGTTGTTTTCCATAATTACTGGAACATTCTTGTTGACTCAGTCCAAATCCTACAGACAGGAATAATTCTATTAGTACCCAAACTACTTCAGGTGCTTTGTTCTTTTCAAGTACTTTAGAGCAGCTCTTACTTCACTTTCTAATATTATGGGTGCTTCCTCATAAGATTTCTCTTCAAAGGACTCTATCATCTTTTTGTATCATCTGTATAATTCTTCTACACATTCTTTTTACCTTCTCTTTATTTTATGCTGGTTTGACAGTATGTTCCCCTGCATTTGTAGTCTTGGTTTGAATTTCCTTTTGATTTCTTGGCTCTTCTGGAAGAGGTTTCTTGTTTTTCTTCTTGCTTTTCTCCTCTTTCTTTCCAGTGGCTCCTGTATTAGTTCTTTACATCTCTATGTGATAGTCGCTGAAAAGTTGCATTCAGGAAGAAGCACTCAAGATCATATCACACATATATATTGGCTACTGAACTGCACCAAAAATCCCATTTCTTTCATTTTTGTTTCTTTGTTTCTTGCCTGTCCTTAGCAAGTATGTTTCTAGAAACAACCATGAGAAGGAAATTCATTTGTGGATACACCATAATTAATAGAGCCTCTATCATACCATGCTCAGTGCACTTAAAAGCCATTATCTGACTCTAGCTGTTTTATCACTAACATTCCACCAGATAGCAGCAGAAACTGAAGAATGTGTAATGTTTAGTGCAAGATGCTGACTTCTTTTTTAAGCATTATGCGGCTTGTTCATAAGTATAGTCAAAAACCTCCTGCTTCTTATACATTCCTTATGCTGAACACACACAAATTAATGTCAACACAGTTCTGCACTGGAGAGCTTTGAAGGATTTGTTGCTACATAAATAGATGTCTCATTTATTCATAACAGGTCTTCTATTATGTCATCCTCTTGCCATTAAAAAAAAGTCAAAATATATTCTAACTTCAAAGAAAACTGTTTTTAGCCAGGGTGGCTTTCAAAGACTTTCAGATTTTTCTATAAGCTGAACTGAGCTGAACTTTTTAATAAACTTGATGATCATTCTTATTGTAGAATCAGTACAGTAAATGAGTCATCAGATGTAATTCAGCTTGATGGAGACTGTAGGAGTAATGTGACCATACAGCCCCAATTCAACAGGGCACACGTCTAATTTTAAACAAGTGAATATTCCCACTTCTGCTTCACATCTTTTGGAGACATTGCCTGACCAGATGAGGAACAGAATGCACTGAATGTGTGGAGGGTCAGCTGTGCCTTTACTCTCTCACATTCAGTAAAAGCCTACGTTCACGTGAGCAATGGGAACTCCCCCATAGCTTTCCTGATTTTCACTCAAAATGGATCTGAGCACACCTCTTCTCACTGCTACTCAAACTTAGGAGTGTGCAAGCTCTGAATGATGTTTGGAAGACTGATTGTCAGATCCATAATATTAGAAGAATATATCGATGAGGGATTATTTTGGTAGATGAACATAGGATCTATTTTGTTTTTCTTTGCTGTTGGATGTACTGCCTTTAGAGCAAAATCTAAAGAGGTGCTTACACCCTGCCAATTCATTTCTACCCCACCAATTCCCTTCTAGAATTGATGGATCCTTCTAACTGGATTGTGCAAGCACTGACCTAGGGGAAGGCTGACAACAAGCAGAAATGTTCTTTTCTGGAAGGAAGCAGTTTGAGGCAGCTCACAAATGAATGCTTCTCTTTGTTTCATGTTGTCCTGAAAGGGCTAG